GCGACAAACATAAGACTCATAATGTAAGTGCAAACATACTAGATAAAAAGTTTTTTTATGAGTGATATATATTGTTAGAAAAAGTGAATAAAAGGTTTATTAATAAAGTTAGTGGTGTTAAATAAAATATAACAAAAATTTTGCATGAGCAAGTATTAGTGTGTGTAGGTGTTCATGAAACAATTTTGTTTGGGTATTAATTGTCTCTCGATGATTGCTACTTTGTTATCACTTGTTTGTAAATAATAATGATTACATTTTTAGCATTGTTATGTATATACAACATTTAAAAATTTGTAGTTATATGTTGTATGTTTTTTTTTTTTTTTGTTGCATTACTTTTGTAGGACACATATGTCAGTGAGTGCTCTGCTACATATGGCTCGAACTTAGCATCATGGTCACCTCGAGACAATGACGCTTGGACAATTGCTGTTGGGGGATGCCACAGCAATTTCATGTCGGGAACTGGTTCACAGGTAAACCCAGAGGAACTTGGGTTTACATAGAGAAATCAACAACCAATGGGGATTTCATATGTGAGCTTGATGATATCAAACCTGGCTAAAAAACAAGCCAAAGATAGAGAGGCAATGCAAATGATACAAGACGAAATGGGGCAAGTTAAAGAGCAACGAGAAGCAATGCAATGGATGTTGGAAGACATGGGGAGGATGCAAGCTTCTTTATCGCAACAATTTGCTGCTTTTAGTGCCTACGGGATGCACCCGCCTAGTGCTACTCCATCATTATCTCACACTGGGCAAGCATTTCCTCCTGCAGGGACATCATTCCCTACTGTTGGGCCATCATTTCATGCTAGTGGGCCATCATTTCCTCATGCAATGCCAATGCAAATGCTAATAGAACCTGCATTCCCCATGGGCCAAATGGGGAGACAATCAGGATCTCCAGGTACATCTTCAACCAATCCCCCACAAGATGATTATGGTTACCAGTCAGAATTTGATGCAAATTACTAGGGTCCATTTGGGCTGGAATGATCAGTGTGCATGAGGATGCAAATGCAAAACTTGGCATGTTCTTAATACTTAAGGAAAATACTTTTAGTTTTTGGAAGGGTGATTTGAACTTGTTAGAACATGGGTATATATGTCAGTTGGAATTGAATGGTTTGTGGTAATATTAACTGAATTACTATGACTTGCAAGTTTAGAATATGCAAATGGTCATGTTAAATGTTGCAGGTGGTACTGATATACTTATCTTTTAATTTATGATTATGAGATGAGAGAATTATATAAGTGGTATACATTTATAATAATATGATGAATTGAAAACATGTGATATGATAAATGACATTGTATGTACTGTGATATGGTAAAATCAAAGTGTAGTAAGAACAAGTACAAAAGTTGGGGCATGTTAGAGAGGTTCGAGTATTTCATGCATGTTAGAGTTGACTATATACATCAAGAATCAACTATCAACCTTCCAAGAGTCGACTGTATAAGAGCAACATTGGACTCCCAAATTCTAGAGAGGTTTGAGCATCTTTTGCAGGTTAGAGTCGACTCTAACTTCTCCAAGAGTCGACTATATAGAATCAACATTCAACTCCCAAATTCCAAAGAGATTCAAGCATCCTACTGCAGGTTAGAGTCGACTCTATACATAAAGAGTCGACTCTAATGCCTCCAAGATTCAACTATAAAGGAGCAACATTCGACTACCAAATTCCAGAGAGCAGGGAAAGTTCCTCGTGGTGGGTATAGTCGACTCTTATATTAAAAGTCGACTAAGGGCCAAAAATTGCAGTAAGTTTATGTGAAATATCTATGTAGCTTGATATACATGTTCACACATATTTTTAAATGAATTAGTGTTTTAAATTATTTATATATATCAATAACAAAATCTAATTATATTAATTAATTTATCAGTATTAAATAAAAGTTAATAGATCAATAAAAATTTAATAATAAATAAAATTTCAGATATAAAAGAATTTTTTTAAGATTAAGAATTAATTAAAATATATTAATTTTAATAATTGAGTAGTGGGGTGGGGAAAATATTAATTTTAAATTTTAGCAACATGCTGTACGTTGCTGATGAGTGTAAATTTAAAATTTAAATATGTTTTAGCAACATAGAGCATGATGGTAATGATGGGATGGACTTTCAGCAATATAGTTCTTGTTGTTGAAAGTCCTTTATATACCCCTTTCCTCACCCATTTTTCATGCGTTTTGCAGATGCCTCCAACTCCTTTTCTCTCCTATGCTGCACAATCCTTAGCCATCTCCATATGCATGTCCACTCAACCCACCTCATTCTCAGGCGCATGCTAGACAATCCTCAGCCATCTCTATGTGTTATGCAATTATTGATGCTTCCTTCTTCTGCGTACTGCACCATCCTAGCTTAGCCATCAATCTCCATGTACGTACGTGTTCTGCACCCATGATGCAGATATCCACCTAGCTAACTCCTTCTCTTGCATGCTAGAGATATCCTAAGCCATCTCCAGTCGGATCCTTCTCCTATTGTGTGCTGCAATTCTCTCCAGTCGACCGTAGGATCTCGAACCTGAAACATTCGACTCTATACATCAACATTCGACTCTCAGCTTCTGTTTTTTTTTTTTTCCTGTTAATATTAATTATCTTGAAAACACATTGTATGGAATATTTTTGTAAATATTACATTATTAATTAATTAGGTATCAATTTATATTATTTGAAAGTTTATATATTTATAAATAATTATATAGTAATTACTTTAATTTGTTATTTTTGTTGTTTTGTATGTAATTATTAATAAAATAAAAAATTCAAATTTAGTAAGAAACTCAATTAATTATTCCATAGAAATTAATTAACTTAAATTTGTTTAATTAATTTATATATAGTTATTAAGCTAAAAAATTGATTAATGTTTATAATTAATATATAAATATTAGTTATATTGTTTGTGAGATCTTAAGATAATTAATATATATTTGATGATTAAAAAATAAATTTTATTTGTAAATATTATAAATTTATTAAATTTAATATAGATAAAAAAAATTAATGTAATATATTTATTATCATAGACATCAGCAACAAGAGGCATGTTGCTGAAAATATGGTTTCAACAACATGGCTTTGCTTGCTGAAAATGGATCGAGAATGTGGGGAGGAATCCAACTATTTTGTTATCAACATGGAGCATGTTGGTGAAAGTACACAATCAGCAACAAAGAATATGTTGCTAAAAAGTGCAAATCACTCTCTCCCCTCAACTTTTACCAACATAAACCACGTTGCTGAAAATAGGGTTTCAACAACGTGGCTTTGCTTATTGAAAATGGACCGGAAGTGTGAGGAGGAATCCATCCTTTTTTTTACCAACGCGGAGCATGTTGGTGAAATTACACAATCAGCAACAAGGAATATGTTGCTGAAAAGTGTAAAACCACTAAATCCCCTTAACTTTTACCAACATAAGCCACGTTACTGAAGATAAGGTTTCAGCAATGTGGCTTTTCTTGTTGAAAATTTGATAAAATTCTAGTGACAGAGTCCGGCAACATTTTTTCAAATTTTTAGCAACATAAGCCATGTTGGTGAAACTCTATCTTAAGCAACGTGGCTTCTGTTGCTGAAGGGGATGAGAAATTTCACCCCCACCTCTCACCAAATTCCAGTGACTCATTTCAACAACACAAGCCACGTTGCTGATATTATATTTTCAGTAATGTAGATCATGTTGTATATCAGCAACAAAATTTTGGTTGGTAATGTATTACCCACCAAGCCTTCTCCAACAAAGGTTTTAGCAAGCAAAGCCATGTTGCTGAAGGACTTTCAGCAACATGGGAACCACTTTCAGCAATGTTGCTGAAGGTGAGGATTTTAGTAGTGTCTGTTAGGTCTCATTTCTCCCACCTCAAAGTAAGAATGCCTAATTTAAGCTAAAAATTAGTGTGAGGGCTTAATTGTGAGAAACCTAACTGTTTGAGTGGGTTATCCAATTGGAATCGGGCGGAAAAATATGTTGTTTTCAGTTCCAGCAAGAAGCCAGGAATTAATTACGCATCTACATCATTCCAAGCAACCACGTTTCCCTTTTCTTTTATTTATAATATTGCCCATCCGTGCGTTTCGGTCAACCGGACCTCCCTCTTCTCATTTTCAAAACTTGAAACTCAGACGTTATATTTGGATAAAAATTTAAAAAAATAATAATAAAAAGAAGGAAATAATTAATATTAAATTTGTTTGGATCAAAAAAATACAAGGGAGGAGAATATAATATTTTTATTTAATTAAATAATTTTTAAAAAATAAAACAAGATAAAATAAAAATTTTAAAATTTATTAATTAAAAAATTAATTAAAATAAAATATTTTTATATATTTATTTTTTAAAAAAAAATTTAAAATAATAAATATACATAACCAATTCTTCAAATATTTTTAGTTTGAAGGGATTAAAAAGAGAGGAGTGCAGGGAGTTACATCTCTCTGTCTCCCTCTCCTTCCATTAAAATTAATAACCCAAACACCATAAGAAATCCTTCCCTTCGACTCCCTCCCTGCCCTTCAACTTCCTCAATCCAAACTAAGGGATAAAGTTCATCCTTTTGAATTGTTTCTCTCCCAATTCAATCTTAATCCCAAACCACTCACTAAAAAGACTTATTTTGGAGCTTACATGGAGAAAAGCCACGAATTTGTTTTGACCCAGATGAGGAAATCAGTTGAGAAACTAGGTGTTTCCACTGAGGCAAGTATCAAATTCCTGTATTGTATATTACAAATGCAAATTTATTTTACTCTTTTTTTTTTTTTTCCTTGTGGGTTTATCTTTTATAGAATTATGGGGACCCAACACTCACTAGGTTCTTGAATGCAAGATCAATGGATCCAGAAAAGGCAGCAAAGATGTTTGTCCAGTGGCACAACTGGAGGTCTACCATAGTTCCTAACGGGTTCATTGCGGATTCGGAAGTATCTGATGAATTGCAGCACAGAAAGATTTTTCTGCAAGGTTTATCAAAGAAGGGATACCCAGTGATGCTTGTGAAGGCCTGCAAGCACTTCCCTTCAAAGGATCATCTCCAATTCAAGAGTAAGTAATAGCCCTTTTAATTTAACCAGTTTAGTTTGATAATAACAGTGCTTAATTGATTTGCTTATAATTTTCATAATGCAAAATGCATCTGTTTTAATTTTGTTTAACCACCAATGAATTCTTGGTTTAGTGGTTAAGATGGAGATCCAAGTACCTTGGGTTCTAGGTTCAAGTCTTGCCTTGTGCAAGTTATTGTCCAACTTCATGTTGGTTAAGGCGATGATTTATGGCTTTATTGGGCCTAATGTTGTGTTTCTGATGGCAACACATGGCATTAGCCATAGCCAACTCCACTAATAAGTTGGCATATATTGCTTTCTGTTACTTGATTATATCATGTTTGATGTTTATTTCTGAATATGTTGGAAATTGTGATAAACATAATAATTTCACTCTTTCTTCTTTTCTTTTGGGACCTCTTTTATTTGCTTATAGGTAGAGACTATGTATTGTAAAATTTTCATCACGTACTGTGGTTAACTTGTTAGATTTTTGAGTTACATATTCACAAAACTTAGCATTTTTTTTCTTGATATGGCAATTGAGAAACTGTATTTTTTCTAAATGATTTGTCTGTTGAATGTTGATTACTTTTTTTTTTCTCTAATAAAATAGTTATTTCTCGTTTGATGGTTTTTATCTGCATAATTCCTCTTTTATTGATCCAAAACCATTTAACTTAAGAGAATAATTACAATCCTCGAAACTCTCTTTATCACCACTTCTAATATCATTTTTGTTCATGAGTTTTTCTAACTTGTGATCATATGACAAAGAATTTTCAATATATCTCTTTAAGAACCACTTCGAGGCTACTTTTTAAAAATATTTGGCAATTTGAGAGCTTTAAACGTACCCTTTTTTTTTGGGCCATTCTAACTACCCTACCTAACACTCCCTGACACCTAATAGAACAACTGAAACCATATCAAGCACATCACATGGGTTGTCATGATAAGGTGGTAACTTGTGCTTCGTTTCCATTTTTTGCCATTTCATTTTGGAAGAGATGATTTTTTCATTTACAGGCAATCTCCAGGAACAACTAATCTGGATAACTCTGCTAGTAAATTCTTCATCAAATGCAAGAGTAATCGGCAGCAAGAGAACTCCCTTCATTTAACTTTTCATTTCCATTCCAGACAAAAAAAAAAAAAATTCAACTCCATTTTTCATAGTATCTTATGATGAAAACTGCATTTTGACATGCTGCATTTCAAGGAATATATACTCATTTGTAGCTGTGGTAGCTCAATCCTATATTCCTGTTTGACATGCATCTGTATGGTACTCATTATTTGTACTGAAGTTGACTCATTTCATCTTTCTTAATGCAGAGTTTGTGGTTCATTTGCTAGACAAAACAATAGCAAGGTATCAACCAATTCTACATGTATTGGTAATTTTGGCGATGGAAAACAGTTTTTGGTTATGAACTTTAGGTTGTCTTGGAAGCATTGTTAATAATGTAAGGTATTGCTGTTTGGAGCATTAAGCAGATTGTCTAGGGGCATTATGTTATATTTTCTTTCAGTCAATCTTTTGCAGGCTAAAGAAATAATGTTTACTCTTATTTCCAAGCTTTGTCAACACTGTCTCATTGGAGGGGTGATCTATTTGAAGCTAAAGAGATTTTTGGGATTGTACACCTTGAAATTTATTTATTTGCTTGTGACATAAGAGATGTTTAATTTGCTTGTTTAATCTGCCCAGCAAATGGTAAACTTTGCTGTAATAGAAATATTGTAGAGAAAAATGTCAGGGCTAGTCAGGGAAAAGCTCAATAACTTTCTCCTACTTATGTCTTCTGGAGCAGGTGGAGGGTGGGGATGAGGAGAATGCCTCTCAAACCTTTTGAGAAATTTCTATATTATGTCTTCAAATGGAACCTGTTGGGGTCAGCTTAAGTGGTTAGGAGTGATGTGAACCCTGCTGGAATCGCAGGTTCAAATCCCCCCTATTTCCATTTTGGTGTAAACAATCCCAACTGACCACACCAGCTGAAAAAAAAAAAAAAAAAAAAAA